CAAACACAAAGAGGAACTGCAGTAAATAGTGCTGTAAAACTACTTGTAGAAGTCATTACACCAGAGTTGCAAAACGCTGAAATATTTATTGCTATTTTCCCAACAGCCCGTACCTGAATGACAGAATCAGAGAGGTGGTGTCTGACTGTGCTTTGCCTGTGTCTGTGCTCATACTCTCCTTCACTGGCTCCTACCTTTTCATTGACATACAGCGTGAGTATGGATCTTTCAAATGAAAGAAATGATAGAAGAGTACTCTTGAGGCTTAAAGTCAGAACCCTGGCACATAACGGTTTTCACTGTTCATAAAGCCTCTGTTGAAAGGGGAAAACATTTGCTTCAAGTGAACTTTAAGCCCAGTCTGGGGATTGTGTGTGTGAGAGACACAGAATTTAAGCTTTGCTTTTAAAACAGAGGCTATTTGCACAAAGGTTAGTGTTCAAGCAATTATTTACTTTTGTTTTCATTGTATGTTTGTAACGAGCTTTCTGTAAATTCTTTGCTTCTATTAGTTCCCGTGTTCAGTGTACACGATGGTCCGATCTTCAAGTTCCCTCCATTTGAAAAGCTGTCAGGAATGAATGCACTGAGTGCCGTTGGTCTGGGGTTTCTGCTTGCTTTGCTCATCTTTATTGACCAGAACATCGTCATTTCACTGACACATGTGCCGGAACACAAGTACGAATCCCACTTTATGTTCTAAGCTATGAGAAGAACGACACAGCAGAACCTGTGGTTTAAATGTTACCTTTACAGTATTTGGTCTTGATGCGTGAACCGCTGTGCCTTTACTGACAAACCACTTTAAGCTTATGTGTGTGATATCCCAGGTTGCTAAAAGGCACAGCATTCCACTGGGACTTAATGCTGACTGGCTTCATTAACATCCTCATGTCCTGTCTGGGGTTGCCATGGATGCACGCTGCTTTCCCACATTCCTCTCTGCACACCCGTCAGCTCGCCAAAGTAGAACAGCAAGTAGAGAACGGACACCTCTGCACGACGTGAGTAAAGTTAAAACAAGGTGTGCTCTGCCCGCTCGGACAGCATCAGCTTTTATGAACGCTTTTAACACTCAGAGTGTAACAAAATGGTTACGTAGTTTAAAGAAACTCTGGTTTATCTCTGCAGCAGATGCAGTGTGCATAGTTGCCCATAAATTGTTTAATACGTCAGTGATCCATTTAATTTCCTTTCATGTTGGATTCAAAAGCTGATCTTATGCATTAAAAGATATAAAGATTGTTCTGGTTTTCTCAAATAACTCATCTCTCTCTTTTTCACCTAATAGCATTGTTAGTGTGAAGGAAACACGCCTGACCTCACTGGTGGCCAACATCTTGATCGGCCTGTCCGTGTTCATGCTGCCCATTCCTCTGCAGTGGATCCCCAAGCCTGTCCTCTACGGGCTCTTCCTTTACATCGCAGCCACTTCACTGGACGGAAATCAAATGGTGGACCGCATGACCCTCCTGCTAAAGGAACAGGTGGATA